CTGTTCATTTATTGTTTAGAACAATATTTCTAACTAATGTGTTTTTACTCTCTCTTTCTAGATATATATCAGCCTGTGATTGGTCAGTCACCTGTAGTTGATAAAAAGTTTTTGTTACTTCAAGGACTTGTAGAAAAAGAGATTGATTACCAAAGAGAACTGCTAGAAACCTTGGGAATGATGGATATGCTTTTTGCTACCATGACAAGGAAAGAAAGCACTTCTATGTTGCAGCATGCATCTGATGGATTTCTAGAGAACAAGAAGATAGAGTCATAGTGCCTGCTTAATAAGACGCATAAGAACTCCAAACTTGGGATGGATTTGATTCTATTAACTATTGGAAAGAGAATCTCTTTGATACATTAAAAAAAAACTATTTTCAGAAGCAATTTTATGGAAGACACTGGAATGACAATGATAGGAAAATAAGTACCTGTTTTAAGACATGATTTTCCATGTAATGGTTTGAATTGTTTTGTGGTGTCTTTGGCTAGAAGATCTCAGTTGTCTTGGTTATAGTGCGTGTCCACCTTGGACAAGTTGAAATTAATTTTAATACAGCAAAGCTCTGTATCAGCATTTAGTAGGCATTCAGAACTCTGGAGAGGGTTTCACTTGTAAAGGAACAGGGCTTTATTTTTTAATTCTATCCTGGAGAAACCCAACAAAACAACAAATAAATTATTTCTTTAATCAGTACCCTTGAGATTTCCGGGCTCCAGCTGAGCTTGCCGTCCCTCTCCTTGACATCATCATTTATCCTAAGTCACATGTTCTGCTTTTGCGGGTAATAGGGCTGTATCTATTCCGAGTGCGGCAAATCAGTGGCCAACTTTGAGTAATTCACACCAGTTAGACATGTATTCAGAGAGAGTGATGAGGCAGATTTGATATCTAAAAATTGTGTTCTCCACCCCAGGTTTTCTTTTTATTTCTTTAATGTTGACTATTTTTATCAGAACGAGGTCTACACGTAGACCTTTTTGGACCATGTTTATTTTTCTTCCTCTCAATATGTGTGTAGCCTTTCTACCAGGTTTTCAACTTGCTTCAGGTCAGGGGAATGATAAAGTTTGCCATTCCTCTTGTAATGAATAGCCATTCATACTTTTATATACATGTTTGAAACTTATTGGAGCTACCTACCCTCTGAAAATCATTTTCTCTGATCTATATTTAGATTTTTTTCCCCCTCCATTCTTCCCTATCATCTTGTGTTTTAGAATTCCAAGATAGGGTAGCTTGCTCTGGAAAATAGTCGTATTTTTTAAAAGTTCAATATAAATCACTTTTTAATAAAGAGATTCTTATTTTCTTCTTGGCTTTTTGAGATGTATCAATTCTTGATGGATAGTCACTGACTAGTGACTCCTAGCACACTGATTTCACACTTGCTACCTCTCATACCTTCTCCTAATTCTTGTCCCACCTCAAGTAGTTAATTATCTCTAAGGAAATATGCCTTGGGCTAGCAGAACCCTTAGTTAAAGGAAGATTTTGTCATGGGAATCTCTTAAAATTTTAGTTCTGTAGTTCAGTTTTGTTTTTTTTTTAAAGCAGAAGAAATACATCTGTCTGGTGAGGGCTTATGCTCACAAAAGGGGTCTAGTTTCCCTTTCATGAGTTGATTTAACTGATCATCTAGCACAATGACTTGTAAGAAACCAGGAGTTTACTTCCCTGAGTATGTATTAGTCAAGGTCAGAAACTGTCTCTTCATGTTGAGAAGGGTTAATTTATTTAAATTTTGTATTTACAAGCTTTTAAAAACATTTAACTTCATAAATATGTGATCATTTGTATACTAATAAAAATTAGAAGTTGAAATTTTATCTAAACTAGCTGCCATCAAATGTGTAACATGTGACAAGGGTTTCCCATATATTTGATTCTCACCACAACTATTCATTGTTCATAATCTCATTTTATGTTGAATTAACTACAGTAAATTCACTCTTGAGTTCCCTAAACTTGAATTCTTAACATCATCCCAGCACTCTGAGGCTGCCTGCTGGGGGTGAAAGTACTCATTCCCTTTAACAGAATGTCACTGAGGGCTGCAGTTGTTGGGTGCTGCTTTGCATTTCAGTTTTCCACATCGTTTATTAGAGATTGCTCTATAGCTCAGCTTCATTCATTTTTATGCTGGCCACCTACATCACTGTATAGATATGCTGTAATCAGTTCAACTAGTCTATCAATGGGCATTTAGGTGGTTGCCATTCTTTCATGGTTACAAGCAGTTCTGCACTGAGCAAGCTTTTACATAAGTTTTTGTGCATTTTGAGGAGTGTTTACTGGGATAAATTACTATGAATTCTGATCCTAGAGAGTAAGTCTTTATTTCCCACCCCAAAGTCTTTATTTGGTAACATCTCATT